TTTGCTGAGGGTGGGACAATAAACAGACCTGGATTCTGGTGCCTTTTTATGACCCAGCCCCCACTACCACTATAATCAGCGTGGCCTCTCTTTGAAAACAGAAACATCAGCCTCAGTTTCCTTTCTGTTGTTGGTGCAAAACAAAGCATGCTGACCGTAGCATTTTATGTTTTGCATTGATCTGAGCAGATGGCTCTGAAACAGCTTTAGACATTATGGTCTTTCTCAGATGCATCCAAATTCCAGCTACCTGCATGATTGCAAAAAGACAGAGGAAGCAGAGAAGTCTCCAATTAAGTGGCCTCTGAATCCCAGCCCACCTAAGGATCTAAGCAGCTCCCAACCTCCCAGCCATCTCTGGATGTCCCCAAGGTAGTCTGCAAGCCAGATAATTTTCAAAGGTTTACCCTGTGACAATGCCTCTACATGGGTTCTTGCAGAAATTAATATCCTTTATGGGTATCTCATCAAAACCAGACATTCTTCCTGATGAAAAATAATGTGCTAATAAAGTTTGGGGAATTCAGCGCTTTTTTTTTTTTTTGATGGGCAACCAGAAGCAGATGGAGAAGGTGGTTCTTAGGCATTTGTTGGCTTAAAATATCTGAGGGTCCTTTTTCATAAGGGGCTAAAATAATGTCCATAAAAGGCTACAAGTTCACAAAGTCCCAACCTCCATATTCCCCACTTAGTACCTACCCACCCACGTTGCCCCACTCCAACAGAAAGAGCTAAGAGGAGATTAGAACCAGGAATGCAACTCCCCCCACCCTCTCTTCTCTGATATCTAAACTGAGTGCCACAGCAAGAGTGAGGTCTGGCTTATAAGTGGCCACAATTACACAACTTTCACAGGCACTGAAACCACTTTAGATTAGAATACAGTGTATCCAGATCACAGGCTGTATAAAGAGATGAAGATTTGAAGTCCGTCTACACACATGACCTGCTGTTTGACCTTGGCTAAGTAAGTATGTATTTACTCCTCTCAGAATTGTGTCCTTAATAAAAAAACAGAAATATAAACACACACCTCCAAGCAAGGGGAACTCCTTACAAAAGAAAGTTTCAATACAATTATCTATATGTATGTTCACAGTTATAAGCATGACAAAACAGCTTACTGGTCTCATTCTTTTTAAACAAATAGTTGAGGAAAAGCCCTATTGGTTTATACAGAATAATTAAATAATAATAATAACAGTTATTCTTTTCTAAGCAGGCAGTTATAATAATAGATACATATGTGCATAATCAAGTCTGGCAGAAGGTGGCAGACATTCCCAGTTAAGTGCATACAAACCAGGGTTTTGATAACTTAATAAAAAAGTTGTTTAAAGTGTTGATAGCAGATTTGGGGGAGGGTGGCGTACCTGAACTAGAATATGAAGTAAGATTAGAATTTATATGAAAAGCATTGTTTCCCAGATATGCAGAAATCAACCAGGATATATTATGTGACCGACTTACACACAGACCTTTATCAAATTCATAGTTATGTTACCTGCGTGGGTTTACTTGACTACATGGCCCTTATCTTGCTTGTACAAGTAAGAAATGAGGGTTACTCGCACATCTAGGTTCAGACAATGTAGCTGCTAAATTAAATAACATGTACTACCCATTTACACATCATACAAATCTATCAGTGCTTTTAAATTCTATTTGTCCAGATGTGACCGCTTGGTTGTGGGGCCACCTGCCGTGTCCTCTTTGTGATCTGATCAGTCCAGGCGCCTCCTGTTTCTGCCTCTAACACCCTGTTGGGCAGTAATAAGATGTTAAAGGCGCCAACAGAGAGAAGCCAGGCTGTCAGCTTCAGAGAGGAAGGGGGTGAAGGGTACAAGGAGGAGGAATAAGAAAGGGAGTTGAGGGAAGATCAAAGAGGTAGGAAAAAAGCCAAACTGCTAAGAGAGGAGATGTGGCTCTAGGAGCTAGGGACCCTAAGGAAGACCCCAAAGCAATGAGATTCAAATTGTGCCATCCAGTTACCCAAGCTGTTGAATTATTGAATGTCCCTCATGGAAAAAGCCAGTATAATGAAGAATGGTCCATACTCAGGGTAGACAGAGCCCTACAGAGGTGTTGCATGAAACCTAAGCTTGTTTCTCCCCAGCACATTAACCTACCACCACTTTATTCCCCAATCCTAGAGGAAACCTTTGTGTGACCAGTTTCTGTAGAAGGCGTCGGTGTTGTTGGCTTTTTTTTTTTTTTTTTTTTTTTTTTTTAGGAAAGAGAGAGAGCCTGGGACGCGCACAGAGAAAATGCTAATGTCGTTCAGCTCCGTTTCATTGTGAGGAGGGACACAAGAGGATAAAAACCTAGCTCTCCAAACCATTCTCCCTACTCCCCTCCTCCCAACGCCACCAACCATCCCTTTAGCTGGATGTGTTTCTGCGCTTTGTTCTAATTTATCCCATGCATAATTTATTTACGTGTGTATTGTTTCCCGATCAGCAACTTTTAAAAACAAATGAAATATAAAAGATGTTTTATTAAACAAGTTGTTTTTAAAAATAAAGACAGATGGTGTAGGTCTCCCAATAACAACGTGTGTGCTCCTGCCATAGGAGTTCAAAAACCGTCCGGAGTGCAGAAAGCTCGGCTGGGGGCGGGGGATGGGGGGGTATTGTTTACACCTCCTTACCTCCAGGGAAAGGGGTCGAGATACAAAAAGGAGGGGCTAATTAAAAATGACCACTCAACTTCCACCTAGAAAAAGCAGGCAGGGGTGTTGTGTGCACGCTAGCGCGTGCGTGTGTGTGCGTGTGTGTGTGTGTGTGTGTGTGTGTGGTGACACAGAATTACAAAACATCTCACTGCAACTGTCTCTACACAAAGTACAAGTATAATAATTCAGAACTAATTCCACTAACCAGCCCGTTTCTCTGTCCCTTCCTCCACCTCTAACCCCACCCCACCCCAGACAACCTTGCCAAAAAGGCACCCTTCTGCAGTTCAAAAAACAAACAAACAAAAAAGCTGGAGCGAGCCGGGAAACCCTGGAGCGTAGAGATACTGCGCCTGCCCGCGCGTGAGCGGGCGCCAGGGTAACGAGGGTACCGCTTTCCCAGCAGGAAATAAACCTGGCGCACATGTGAAATAGATTCCTCTAACTTGAGTTTACCAGGTGGCATCAGCCCGCCTGTGTGATTTCGGGGGGAAATGGGGAAACTGCAAATCAGCTGTGGGTTCAGTAGAAACTCACAGCATCAGCGGTGTGCCTTCGCGAGCCACCGGGAGCGAGGATGCGGCGAAGTTACGCCCATTTATTCTGCCATAAAACATTTTCTTTCTTGGGCGAAACGCCGTGGCGTTCAAGTGCAGTGTATCCGAGCTTGCGAGCGAGAACTAAAGCCGGGAGCTGCTCTGTGATCAACAGCAGCTTCCAGTATCCTCTTAACTGCAGCTTTAATATATATGTGTATATTTAAAACTCCGATACGGGGGACATTACTACCTTTTTCCCTGTTAGTGAGGGGAGAAAAGCTGGTGCAAACACTTCCGATTCTCGTCGCGCGTTCCTTCGCGTAGGGAACCCCCCTACGCCCCCCACCACCACCAGTGCGAATCTGCTTTTCAACTCCAGGAGGAGCCTGGGGTGCCAACGCGGTGCGCTGAGTTGAAAGAACCTGGACTGGCATCGGCCACACACCCGGGAGAATTCTGCATGAAACGCCCCCCCCCCGCGCCCTCCCCCCCCCCCCCCCCCCACCCCACACACTCCCTTCGCCCGCGGCTACCAGCCCAGCTGGGAAGTCCGGGTCCCAGCGGCGCGGACCCCGACCCACGTCGCGCAGCGATCGGGAGGGAGATCTCCTCTGCCAACATCATCGCCAATAGCACCCCTTTTAGAGCGACGCTAGTTTTCCGAAGCCTCCCCCGACTCCGCGATCGCGATCGGACTTGGCGGCGTAACAGTTCCACCGACTGGAAGGAAGGAGGGAAGGAAGGAAGGAAGCCAGGATGAAAAGGAGGGGGAAGGAAGGCAGGCAGGAATTGGCTGTCGGACCCAGGGACTGGTCCCCGCATGTCCTCGCCCAGCCCGCCCCCCTGCGTCCGGGATCTGGGCGTCCGCTCAAAGTCTCCCGGCGGCGGCCAGAGGCACCTGCCCCTCGCTCTGGCCGGGAGCAGAAGCCGCCGGCTCAGGCGGGGAGCCCCAAGCTGCCTCTATACCCGCCTCGGCTTTTCACCCAGCGGAGGCGAGAACACCATTCATAAGACCTGCAGCTTCCCTGCCTCCAAATCAACCCCAAGTTAACCCGAGTCCTTAATTTACTACAGCCAGTTCGCCCACAAACACACACAGACACACCGGTGACCGCCCGGAGCTCCGTCACGCTCCGGGGGCTGCCCCAGCAGGAAAGCCCCGGGCAACCACCTGGGCCCCAGGGCTCCCGGGACCCACTGCTCCCCCTGCGGTCCTCCCAACTCCGGAAGGTTTGCACAAACTCCCCGCAAGCGATCGGAAGGCGTAGAGCGCCCTGCAAACTCCAGAGCTGCCACGGTCCGCTCGCCCCGGCGGACCAAGCAGCCGGGCAGGGGCTGCGGACTCAGGAGGCGCGGGGCTCAGCCAAGTGCACCCAGGCGGCCCCTGCCCGGCGCTCGCCCCCAGCTCGGCCGCCCCCCGCGCCGCGCTCGCCGCCCCGCGAGGCCGGGCACTCGGGGGACTGTGCTGTCCCCGAGCTGCCCACGACCCCCCTGTACAGCACTCGAGCGCCTGGCTCCTCTGCCGCTAACCCCTCTCGGCCAGTCCTCCAATTAAGCAGAACACAAATGTAACAATTTTCTTCTTGTTAATTGCATCTCTTGACATTTCTGCGCGTTGGGGGAAAAAAAAAGAAGATGAAGAAGTAAGAGCTGAAAGAAAAGAGAAGCCCCGCCGCGGCTGCAGGCGCCTGCAAGCGCAGTGCATTGGCAGCGCTCAGCACGCGGAAGGCGCCTTTTTTTTCATATTGAAACCAGACGGAATATGTACATTTTTTAGTCTTACTTACGCTTTCAGGGGGTTGTGAATGACAGTCGCCATTTTGCTACAATGTAACAGAATATTGTCTGTCTCAGAGTTCTAAAGGTTCGCTCAGGGGAAGCGGCGAGCCAATCAGAGCACGGGATACCGGCCCGCTGGCCAATTGGCGCTGCTGGTCGCCAGGTGGGCGGGGCCTGCACGTTGGTAGTTATTAGGGGAGCTGTCAAAGCCCAGAGGTCACTCCCTTTTGTAGAGCCCGAGAGCAAGCAGGTCTTAAAGGGGCAGTACCGCTCGAGCAGCTCCTGTTTGGATTTGGGAAAGTGGAGAAGCACCGGAGAGTGTTCTAGTTTGGTTTGAGTCCCTACTTTCTAAAGAATTGCAGAGAGTTTGCGCTCCTTGACAGAAATATTTAAGTACTGCCAACAAACCACTGAACCCCATTCATTAGCTTTTGGCTTTGCTGTAACGTTTTTAATCCCCCAAAGGGCAAATCTCCTTGTTCCCCTGCAAAAGTTGGAAGGCTGCCGTTTCGTCTAACAAATTACTACACGTGCCCAGCCGTCTGCTAATGCTCTGGGTCCTAAGGCTTGTTAACATTCTCATTCCCGTAGTGTTTTCTTTATCTCGGCCACCTTTCTCTCTTGGTTTCTTGGAACTGCTGCCGCCGTTCCTGGCGACTCCAGGACAGCAACTCCCCTCCTCCTGGAATGTCTCAATGTCAGGCTCGCTCCCTCCTACAGCCAGGGCTTCCGTTACGTAATACGCGGTGGTCACTCAGCGCGGTTCCCCACTACCACCTCTTTTAATCTACAAACACCAGAAACTTCTGAAACGATCAGATTTCGGACGGCTGGGGAGCCAAGTGGGACCTGGCGCTCTGACCTTTAGGCTTAAGGATAGAGGAGGTTTAAGGAAACTTTTGGAAACGCTTCCTGCTACTAGGAAAGAGTAACTAGACAGAAGGTGTTGCCAGAGACTCTTTCGGGGAGTAGCACACGCGATTCTGGCGTCACCTTTCACTCCTTAGATACAAAGTGGAAAAAATTTGCCAATGAAAAATCCGGTATGACCCGAGGCGTTCAGAGTCGTGTCTGCCCCCAAGTCATTGTGAACTTCTCACTGGCGAACCCCCGACAAAATTGGGAGACTTCTGTGAAGCCAGGCTTCCACTGGGCATCCGGGAAGCTCCCGGTGGATGAAAACCCACTAAATCATGAATAGGGGCCTCGTTAGCATACAGAAATCTGGCTAACATCCCAAAGTTGTTGAATCAGGTCAAATAGCTAAAATAGAGGAGGAGGGGTAAAAGGGGGAGAGGAGATGCCAAACTGCCAGTTCTTCAGGGCTGTGCCCTCTCACTTCCTTTCTCAGTGGCAATAAATAAATAAATAGATAGATAAATAAATAAATAAAGTTCCAGAACTTTCAGAGTTCAATTCCATACACTATTAGAGTTACAGAAAAACAGAACAGGGCTGACTGGGTATGTTTGTAAGGCTTTAAATTTTTAACTCCTTTTTTCTGCCTAGTTAATAGCATAGTCAAGTCCTATAGATTGCTTTGTAACTCCTTTGCATGGCATCTTGCCATTTGAAAAAAGTTACCCATTTTTCTAAAATTAAAGTTTGAAAAATCCCTTTCTTACTGATTTGTCAAGGGACTCGTTCAAAAGCTGGTTGTTGGCCTGGAATGGGGCTTGACAACCTTAAAAAGCAAATACTGTATTCAACCTGCCCCAAGAACTATGATGAGTTTGAAGTATCAGCCAGAACTCCCACCATCCTCTTTGAGATATCAAAACCGCAGCAATTCAGATTGGAAGACAACAGCGTATTTTAATATATATATTTAATATATTTATTAATATATTGATATAATATATTATCATATTAATATCATATACTTAATATATGATAAAGGAAGCAGGAAATGTAGAACCTGCCGTGCATGAGGCTTACAATTTTATAAGAGAGGGAAAACAAATTTATATTACAAATTAAAAAAATATATAGATGGGGTGGGAGGGAGGAGAGGGTGGGTGATGGGTATTGAGGAGGG